GCTAGCTGGCTGGATGGCTGGCAGCTCGTCATCATTATCTCTGCGCTCTGCCAACATCACAAATAATATGAGGAAAGCACAAAAAGGGGAAAAGAATTGGGGGTTGGGGGCGGGACTGTCCCGGCCCGGCCCGGCCCGGCCAGGGCAGGCCAGGGCTGGGCAGGCGGAGTGGCCCAGGTCGAACGACCTGCAAATAAACTATTTCAATCAATGCGTTTGTCGTCTGGCCATCGCTCCATCGATCGCATGCCAAAGGTAGTTAGGTAGGATGAGTTGTGGGCCCTTCTGCGTGGCTGTCGTCAGGAATTTTCGTATGGGTGGGGATGGAAACGGTCTTGAAGGTGAGAGGCTGCACGTTGTCATACTAAAATTTAAGTTTCTTCAAACCTCCGAAACATATGTATCGGAAATTAACATTTATTTTCTAAATTTACAAGTTCTAACTTACTCCTTAATGAAAAATGCTCTGATGTTTGTAATCTTTCACAAAAATGAAAATCTGACCCAAATCTTATATTGAGTAAGCCAAGGAATTATAAATTTTAATAATTTAAAGATTAGATGGATAGCTCTCTCAGCTTAAGAATTCAATTAAAATTAAGATAAAACATGGGAAACAGAACTTTTAATGTACTTGACTTCAAGTCAAAATAAGTCTAAATTTATACACCTAATGGATTTTTAATAAAAGCTTCATAGTTCCCGGGATCCTATAAGTATCATATACATAAAATTAATTATAAAGTTACAAATTAAACTAATCACAATCATGTCGATTACTAAAAATTTGCCCTTTGTATCTTTACATTTTCTACATTTAGCCAATACATAAACCCTGAAAAAAACACACATCCAGATACTTTTACCAGATACAAGATACTTCAAAGCTTTTTTGTCAGCTTTTAAAAAACAACAGAAGTACACTACTTTAAATTAATATTAAATTAATTTTTTTGTAATGCCGAAGTTTATACATCCTTACCAGATTCATTAAGGTGCAAAATATGCATAACATTGCCAATTTTCATCCGATCTTTATAAGGAATACCGATATCAATGTTTATATCGATTCTCCGTCAGTCTGGATCAAAAGCTTAAAACACAATTTTGAATCCATATTTTTCAAATTTTTCCTGATGGTACCCCTTGAAAAATCCACCATTTCCAGGATTGCCAGTTTTGGCCCCTTGCGATGCCCATATCTTAGACAATTTTTATCCGATCCTTGAAAGGAATACCTTAAACGATTTGTAGATCGATTCTCCACAAAACTGCATCAAAATCCTGAAACAAAATTTTGGATCGATATTTTTCATATTTTTCCTGATGGTCCTGATGGATTTGAAAAATCCGCGATTTACAGGATTCCCAGTTTTGGCCCCTTGCGATGCCCATATCTTGGACAATTTTTATCCGATCCTTGAAAGGAATACCTTAAACGATTTGTTGATCGATTCTTCACAAAACTGCATCAAAATCCTGAAACAAAATTTTGGATCGATTTTTTTCATATTTTTCCCCTTGAGAGATCCACCATTTCCGAGATTCCCAGTTCTGGCCCCTTGCGATGGCAATATCTTGGACAATTTTTGTCCGATCCTTGAAAGGCATACCTTAAAAGATTTGTAGATCGATTCTACGTCAATATTTATCAATATCTATAAGCAAAATTTTTAAACATATTTTATATTTATTTTCACAGAAGTTCCATCAATCAGGTATTCTATTGAAAATCGTTTGGAGACAAGATATTCCAATTCACTCCCAGAGCCATTTTCCACAAAACCCAATTAGTGAAAACTGTGACGAGTTCCACCTAATTGTAGTGTACTTAACACCGTTCGATATGCAACCAGTTCGTCGACCCCAAACTCTTTTCCGAAAGGGGATTTTGGCCGTTCTTTTGTGTCTGTCGCTGGTTGGTGAGCTTCCACCTCAAACGCTAGTGCTTCGGACTCTACTTCCACAGAAAGCGAACCGTTCCCCGTTCCACCTTGTGCTGATGACTACAAAAATTAATAATATTTAATGCTGATTCTACGCGATTCGGCAATGAAAGTGGTCTACTCGCTCTTCAGCGAAAACTTTTCGCTGCTTGTGCTTAGAACTTGGAGCACCGAAAGTCTTCCCCAATATCAGGGCCGTGAGAAATACCAAACACGAGTCATCCAACCCCATCGACTCGGGTTCAATGCGATCGAGTTCAAATTTAAGGAAGTAAATAAACGTTTTTGGTAGCAAACGATATCACTGCGTCACAATTGCTGATAAGGTGACTAATCACATCGAGTCCCATCGAAGTCTAAACAAAACAAAACAAAGTGCTGCCTAAGCCAAAGCGGCCAAAAGCCATTACTCTCAATTATGGCCATGTTTATTATGAATATGATTTTTGTCTGATTTTTCTCGTGTGTGTCAGACAACTCTTTACGCCGGAGTGCAATGAACGCCACTCCGGCATGGGATTTTTGTTGCTATTCGTATTTGTTTTGTTTACTCGAATTCGCGCATTTTGGCCGTCTTATCAGTCGTTTTGCCGAAATATAAATACAATTTTAAAGGCATAGCGCGTGGCCGTCGGTGTCGCGGAGGTAAATACATCTACGATATCTGATGTGAGAAAAGTATTAAAATAGATCAGGTAGATAAATAGGCATTTCTGGTTGTTTATTGTGGTCTGCTAGACTTTCACTAATTTGTATTGTGCTAACAACACACAAAGACCATGTTTCTGGAAGGTTAAAATGGTTATTTTTCACCATTTCTATAAATATCTTTTGATAAGTTAGACTTTGCTTTGTAATAACTAAGATAAGGTGCAGAACAAGGCGATCTTGCCTCATCTACATGTCAGATTTCATCACAGGGCCCAGCTGATAAGCTCAAATCGATATCAGATCAGTGATTGACCAACGCCCTCCTATAATGCAATTGCCAAGAACAATAAGGGTGCAGTTGGCAAACGCACAAGGAAGCTACTTGCAACTGGCATTTGCACAACCCCTGTCGATGTAGTCATCGATATCGATAATATTTTCCAATTCGTTGCAATAACTTGACTGATAAGCTTGACTGATTTTTTTCCTTCCAGAAGCTATCCTGTCATCGACATGGTCTGAGCGTTCTTATCGTCCAACTGCACATGGGGCGTATGATTAATAAGATCCAAATAAACAAAAGCGGAAGATGAAGCGCGGGGGGCGGTGTGGCAGGGCAGGAGAGAGCCCCAAACACACACCTTCGAAAAGCAAACGACAACTTGACCTAAATTGGCGGCACGAAAAACCAGGGAGAGAGAGTGTCTACCGGGGCTGGAGCCAGCGACAGAGACAACTTTTACAAATCGCTGCATTTAAATAAACAAAACTACGAGGCGTGCTAATTTTTATGAATTTCATAACATGATTTTAATTTTAATAAGACGCAAAACGAAGAAGTCCAAACAGCCAAGGAGGCAAAGAAGCAGCCAACACTGCGTATGTATTACGTGAAAGCTCTCTGATGCGTTTCAACGTCGGCAGAGACTTTGGCGTTGGCTGCGACGCAACGCCTACGCTGACGAAGTCACGCATGCGCGCCAAAAACAAACCCAAATCCCAGTCGTCGTAACTCAAATGCACCACAAGCTCTTCTAAGGCTGAAAAAGAGTCTAAACACAAATCGGAGTGGGCAAGGCAAAGTAGCACCACCTGGATGGGTGGGTGGTGGTGCAGGGTGTGGGGTGGTCTGCCGGTTTCTCAGCTTTAGCTTCTGCTGCTTCTTCCCGCAAGCAAACGAAAATGAAAGCGAGAGACTCTTATCGTGTGTGTGTGTGTGTGTGAGTATTTTATTGCCGTTTTTTATTTGGGTGCCTCGTTGTGACGTCACTTAGTGTTTTGTGTGATGGAGCCAAAATTCTTTGTAAAACGAGTTCTTGGAACAGTGGCGGATTTAAGGAAAAAGGCCCAGTGGGCAAAATTTTTTCAGGGCCTCACTACCCCCCCACACCCTCCATTAGGAATGATCGCAATCGGTTTTTTTGGGCCTACGTCGTTAGCTCAGGCTTTCCCCTTTCGATTAACCCCAAAGTTATTTGATTTTATATTCAATTTAGGATAGTTATCAAGCATTGCAATTATTCCGATAACAGGGGGCCCCTGAATGAAAATTGAACTTGTTCTGTCCACAAGAGACTCACCAAAACATTTTTTCAACAAAAAAATAAACCATAAACCAATAAACTAAAAAATAAAAAACCTTTGCCCACCTGTTAAATCCGCCACTGTCTTGGAACTAGTATGCAATTGCAGTAAAAATTAAAAAAAAAATACATAAATAGAAAACAAAATATTTGGTCTAAGAGGTTCATTGAGTAGTACTTATTAAAAGTACTAAGTAAATTAGAGTAATTTCTTAAATTTTTTATCAAAAAATGTATTTTTAAATATTAGGTCTGGGGAGTAAATGATTATAAATACTAAAAATCAGATCGATATAGTTTCTAAATCTCTAAAACTTTACAAATAATCTCTCCAACTTAACACTTTAAGTCCCAAATCTTTATCCCCCAAATCCCCCCCATTCAATAGCTTCATTTTGTTTCCCCCCTTTAGCCTCAAAAACAAGAACTGCCAAGTGAACTGCCTTGCATCGAGAGTAAAAGTGATTGGGAAAAACTCTTGCTTTTTACCTGATCGAGTCTCTCGCAGCTCTCCTGCCGCGACATTCTCAGGCTGGTCGGCTGGCTCTCTCTTGGCGCTCATCCACAGGTAGTTGCTGTAAAGTAAAGACAGCGCAGCAGCGACGACGTCGACGCCACTTTTTGGGGCTTTTGTGGCGCGGAGCGGTTACTGCGTCTGTGTAAGTGTATGAGTGTGCCGAATGTCTCTGTAAGTGTTACATGCGCGTTGGGGTTTGGGGACGGCGCTGCCGACGTCGCTGCTGCTCATTTTCTTTGGCTCAGGCCGCTGCTTGTCGTTTCTGCGCTGCGCCAAAGACTTTTTCACTTTGCCGCGTTCGCATTTTGTCACAGTTACAATTTACCAATTGTAAGATACGGACGCACAGCTCCTCCACTCGTACGCGGAGTAAAAAAAAAAAAACAGTGAAAAGCTCGCTCCGCTCCGCTCAGCTCAGCTCGATTCGGCTCGCTCTCCACGGGGACCAGCGGCTAACGGTTCTTCAGGAGCTGGTCTGCTTCTAACACTCGCACACTCGCACACCGCAGCGTCGGCCCGTCTCGTATAAAATCTGTTGCATCATTTGCGGCACTTCAGTCGTTCGAACGCGTGCGGCCGGAGAAGTGCAGTGCAAACAACAACAACAACTAACTGGCAACAAAAAAATATATAAAAAAAAAACATAATCGTATCGAAATCGGGAAAGCACACAACGGCACCAACAATGCAATCTGCACGGCTTAAGATGACAAAGTTTCGGAATTTGTGAAATTAAAAAAAAAAACAGGAAAGAAAAACAAACTACGAGCATCAGAGAAACATTTCCAAAGACCAACTTACCTCAGTGCAATGCTATAGGCATTAAAAAAAAACAAAAACAATAATCAAGAATCAAAACTCCAAAATTCCAAACGAACTCTGAAAACAAAGAAAAACCTCCAAGATTAACTCGCAAAAAGGCATCAAGATTTTACCCTCGTTCGCGCAATTAAAAATGCTGAACATGGAGTCGCCGCAGATGTACGCCGATGCCGTCCAGACATTGGCCCAGCTGGACCTCAAGAAGGAGCAGGCGCCGCTGCAGCAGGCTACCATCGGCCAGATCACCCTCACGGCGATGTCCACTGCCGCCCAGCAGCAACAGCAGCAGCAGCAGCAACAGCAGCAGCAACCTCAGACCACGGACGCCAACAACAACACGTCGCAGGATGCAGCTCTCCTGGTGAAGCAGCATGCCATGCATCAAATGCAACAGGCTGCTGCCCTGGGTAATGGAAACAACAACAACAACGGCAACAACAACGGGAACAACAGCGTGAACAACCTGCTGCAGAAGCAGATGCTGCAACAGTACTCCACCCAGACGGATCTCGACGAGCTGACCACACAGGAGATAACCCTGGACCTGCAGCACCTCATCGACGACCAGTTCCGGGACACAGAGACTCTGGGAATATTCAGCGACATGGTCACCAGTCCGGGTGGACTCTCGGCCACCTTGCCACCCAGTGGAATGGTCAGTGCGGCGGCCAAGGTCCTGCAACAGCAGACCCTGCGGAGTCAGCACGGCTACGGCGGCAGGGGCGGGGGCGGAGCACTGGCCTACATGCCACAGCCCGTGCACGCCACCTACAACAACTCCAGCGACGAGAACAGCTCGGTGGGCTCCGACTCCAGCACAATCAAGGAGGAGCCCATCGATCCGGAGTACAGGCGACACCTGCAGGAGGCGGCCAACCAGCAGGCGGCCTTCATGGGCAACGGAGGAGGCCTCTACAACGGCTACTCCACGGCGGGCAACGGTCTGGCCGGTAACGGGAACCCACTGAACGGCAACACCACGCCGAGCAGCAACGGGAGCAACGGCAGCAATGGCAGCAGCAACGGCAGCCAGTTCACCAATCTGACCACTGCCAATGTCCTGGCGCACCACAACCTGCCTCACCTGGCGGCGGCGGCGGGGGCCCAGCACCTGCTGAAGCAGCACAGCAAGCTGCAGCAGCACGCAGCGGCCCAGCAGCACCAGCAACACCAGCAGCAGCAGCACCGCAAACACAGCAACAAGCACGTGGACAAGGGCACCGAGGAGTACCGCAGGCGGCGCGAACGGAACAACATCGCGGTGAGGAAGAGCCGCGAGAAGGCAAAGGTGCGCTCCCGGGAGGTGGAGGAGCGCGTGAAGAGCCTGCTGAAGGAGAAGGACGCCCTGATCCGGCAGCTCAGCGAGATGACCAACGAGCTGCAGCTCCACAAACAGATCTACATGCAACTGATGAACCACGCCAATCCTGAAGTGAGTCGCGTGTGCCGCAGCTTCCTCAACACCAACGAGCATGCGCTGTAGCTGTAGATACTAGCTGCATGGATAGTATCTGACGGATATCTGGGAGACTAGAAGACGAGAGTGTGTGACTGCCTCTGTGTGCGTGTGAATGGGCGAGTGTGTGGATTGTATGGATACTGTGTGCTTGGGAAGAGACTCTTCTGTTAAATCAAAGATTCAAAATGCTGTGTGGGTAGCTCGTAAGATACATTTTCCTTCTTGTTCAACGCTATTCATCGTCTTCTACATCTTCTAATCCTACACGGCCCCCTCTTGGGCATTCCTTTGTACATTTTCTTCGACTTCCCCTTGTTATCGCATTGTAGAGCATTGTATTTTTGTACTTAATTTTTAACGACTGTAACATATATATCGCACATTTTTTATACATTTAATCTTAATCGTACACCTTATCATAAAGTTAAGCCAAAGAAAAATGTTGAAAATATTTATGTAAAAAAAATACAAGCAGGAACGCAATCATACAAAAAAATGGAAGGTTATTTATACAAAAAAAAAAAAACAGAAACAAATCAAATATAATAATAATATTAATAGTGTATGTAAATGAAATTTGTACATTTCTTGAATGGTGTATCGCTTGCGCTATGCTTTGTATCGGCCAGCCCCCTGCTTTAAGAACACACCAACATTAGCAAATCTTAGTCGTTAAGGCGATCCCCCCCAGGAACATGAAGTAACCGCTTTACCTGCACCCCTCCCTCAATGGAACCAACCCCGTACCGTGTAACCCAAGATAACCCATCGTCGTCTTTGGGGTACCTGCTTTTGAGAGAGCGTAGAAGATATGAATGCTATTAATTGTAAGGCCAACGCAATGTTCTCATTTTAATTTATATAATCGTAAATTAAATATACACACACAAACTACAAAGAAAACCTGTAAAGCAAATCTAAATAAATTAAATAAAATTTACAGCATACCAAGAAAGTGCCAGAAATTTCCTATGGGTGGGGATGGTGATCTAGCTTGAAAGTAATTCATTCTTTAATCAATAAACAGAGCTCTCCTGCCTGTGTTCATTTTTCAATTTCACAAATTAGCCGCCAAAGTGCAATTAGCCCGCGAAACAATGTGCTGGGCGAGAGCTCTGCCAAAAGATGTCTAACAAAATGTCCGCCATATATGTACGATCGAGGGCCGCAAAAGGGAGGCACTTCTAGCCCGGGATAGAGAAAGGTAATATTTTTCATTCGGCGATGGGACAACCCAAGACAAGGCAATGCATTTCGTACTGCCAGGCTGTTAGGCTGCCAGCCGCGACAGCTGAGGGCTGGGGCATGGCAGACCCCCAGACAATCGGCCGGCATGGCGGCCGTGTTGACACAATTTGACAGTAAGACAAACCCGAAACGAAAAGCAAATTTATAAACGACAGAGCGCAAAAGAATTAATGCAACTCAAAAAACCGACAAATTAACGCGCCAGCGCCAGAGAAAGCCCAAATACGCGGAGATGAAGGGCATAAAACGGTCATGTGGCACCGCCGACCTGGGGCAGATAATCACTTACAGACATTTTTTGGGTTTCTTTTGGGGCTTTGGGGCTCGGGGTAAGCCCTTTTGGATACCCAAGGCGGTGGCTAAAACTTTCTTTCCATCCGTATCTCAGTATCTGTATCTGTACCTGCGAGTGCTGTAGCTGCGACTGCTGCTGCGTGCCGCCTGATTTGTCTAGCTGCATTGTTGAGTACTTTGATTGATGAAAGCTAATTGCGCATGCACTCTGAAGGGCAGTCTGGCCGAAACAAAAGTGAAATTTGAACTTGTGGGTGTCTCCCGGTAGCCACACTTTCCGAAAACAACAGAGGGGGGCAACGAAAACATCCATTTAAAGCCCGACTTTGACATGGGTTCTAAGCTGCTTACGGTGAAAGTTTATTCCCTGCCACATGCCCCTAATCTAGTGGCACATTGGATGCATTATGCTTTTGGCAAGCGAACAAAAATTGCCGCACAATTACTGCCAAACTAAGCGCCAAGCCATCCCCATTGCCAGCGTTAGCGCAGCGGCCACGGGGCGTATGAGTTATGAGCGGTGGCAGGGAAATAAATTCGCAAAACTGCAACAGGCAGATGGGCGGCAGCCTGCAATTTGCTAATTTTTTTTTTTCACCTGTCACACCTGGGCGATGGGCTGATACGTTTTAATTACCCTAATGAAGAGGGAAGCGGTGATTGTATGAAAATTTATTGCCCAATACATGAGATTAATCAAAATATTGTACCATATCGATCACTATCACTCCGCGACTCCGAAAGTGTATCGTTCCATCCCGATCCAGTCGTCATCCAATCGATCTTTCACACTTTAGTGTCTGTCCTCGTCATCTTGGCTCTTCATCTCCTTTATTTTTTAAAAGACTTTTTTTTTAGCCACAGTGACTATAAAAACCATAACGGAAAAAAAGTGGGTTACTTCATTTTTATTTTCAGGCCCCAAAGACAGCGAAAGAGACAGAGAGTATCTATCTATCTATCTATCTTTATTTCTTTTTCTTTTTAGCACAGATTGAGTAATAGTTAGTTGTTGTTGTTGTTATTGTTGTTGCTGCCCCTGTTTGGCTTACATCTTAAAGCCAAGCTCCGTTCCCTCTCTTTTGTGTTGGATTTCGCCTGGCAACGACGATCGGTCGGAGCGGTTTCACTTTCTATGCCGACTGCGACTGCGACTGAGACAGAGACTGACTTTTGCTATCTAATACAGCACAGCAGCAGCAGTGCGGCAACAACAATGAATGCCCCATCCAACAAACAGCAACAACATTCGTTAAGCTCACCTCTTTTCCTTTGCGCTTTGTTGTTTTCTTTCCACAATACATTGACTATTTTCTTTTCGACGGAGACGCCATGTTCGGGCCCCAGAGTCTCAAGACCCAGGCTCCATCCGAGATTCAGCCTGCATCTGTATCTGTACCTGTATCTGTGTATCTGTATCTGAGTGTGGCTCTTATGTAATAACCATGACTGCTATACTGCCATACTGCTATACTGCTATAGTGTGTTTTATTTTTTTTAAAGATGCCTTTTCTTTTGTTGTGCTGTCTGTACTGCCTGATGACCAAGTTAAGATATTATGTTCGTTATGTTGCGCTTATTAACGTGGCCCACAAAAATTGTTTGGTCGTTTTGTTTTGCTTAAACGAATTTTCCGTTATAAATCAAGCGAACCACGCAAAATAGAGACATTTGTCTGCCCCAGCCAGATGATGGTATAAAATAATCAAATAGATTGTCCAACCAAACTGACCCGAAAACAGTCACAAGTGATACTATACCTGGGTATCCCACTCCCCCCGATGGTATACAATATTTTCCTTACGCAACTTTTGTCGGAGGGGAAATGCAATAGTTTTTTTTTTTACCTTCTCTCCCCATTTTCAACAACTATAGAGTTTCGGGAGCCATTAAAATGAAATAATTTACGCATAATAGTACTATTTACGGAAATTAAAAACATAAGTTTACATTTTAGTCCTAATTGAAAAAAAAAGACTAAAGAAAGCCAGAGACCAGAGACAAAACCAAATCTGAACCACTCACCCAAAGACCCATTGGCCTACTTTTCTTACAGGGCCCAGCAGCAACAACAATAAAAATATAAAGAAAATACAATAAAAAAATGCTAGAAAATAATCTCAACGCCAACACACGCACACTCTGCTAATCAACGAGTGTGTGTACAAGGGGCGCCCTTTTCAAAAAAAAAAAAAAAGAAAAAAAAAAAAAAAGCAACAACGTCTTCCAAAAAAGCTGCGCGCGCTTCTATTTTCAGCTGCGCGTTGGCGTCGCCGTCAACGTCGCTGCTGCCTTTATCAATCTGGGCGGCGGTGAGGGGGTGGTGCGTGCAGGGTGGGGCTACTTATCTTAGGGCAAGACCCGCCGCCTCCTCCTCCTCCTCCTCCCTTTGCCGGAAAAGAGATGGCTGCAAAGGGCCAGACACTTGTTGCAAGCAGAGCGTCGGAGGCAGAGGCAGACCCAACAGCAACAACAAATTGACCCAATTTCCCGATATTTTTTTCCTTTAGTGCACACACACACATGCAAACAAAAAACAATAGAAACAAACCGAAATATGTGCCCTGAAGTCGTAAAGAATGAAAAAGAAATATATGTATATGTACTATATGTAGTATGCTCCCTTAAAGAGCGATCCACCAACAACAAATTGGAATTGTTTGCTTTGCGGCATTGTTGAGTTGTTTGCAGGGGGGCAGGAAGGGGGCAGAGAGTGGCAGTGGCATGGGGGGTGTGCAGCAGCCCAACAGCAGAATTCACTTTCAATTTTTGTGCGTGTGTGTTTTTTTTCAGTTTTGGGGCGCATTGAAAGAAATGTTCTATGCTCCAACAAAATTTTTCTTGACTTTGAGCAAAGTAGGTCAGCAGCTGTAAAATAGACTCCACCAGACTAGGGCGCCCGACCCCCGCCCCGCTCCAAAGCCCAAAGACCCCCACCCTCCTAGCAGAGGGGACTGGAACTGAAAAAGGGCAATCAAATCGAGAAAGAAATGTTTGTGCATTGCGAGCGGAATGTCTGGATATCTGGGTATCTGCGATCTTTGACTCTGTTTAGACGGTGTATATTTCTTTTGGGTGTTCCAACCCATCCGGCCACCCCACCACCCACCGTATAGCCACCCGGCGACTGTGAAGTAGGTCAGCACTTACGGCCCAATCCCAATCCCGATCCACGAGAAGTTTTCATTATCATGTGCTGCAGCCCGCCAGAGTCTGCCCGCCAAACAAACAGGCCTTTAAGTATTTGAATGGTTTTGTAACATCGGATGGAAATGGCGAAAACGAATCGGTTCCTGGTCTTTTATGTCTAAACAATGCAATCCCAACTCCATAAAATGTGTCTTTTTTTCGGAAAGTCTGCAGGAGATGAAAGGAATTTCATTGGATATTGATGGATTAGCAGAAGAAATGGTTAACTACTCGTATGTTGAAAGTATACACAATAGACAATGTTCTGTTTATTTTGCAAAAGAATCTCACTCTCTCTATAGCATCTATGGCATTTATGTTCTCACTTTCTTCGGGTTGTGGCTTAAAAATAGAACCAAAAAAAGCTACAATAAAATCGACAAAAATGTGTGATTTTCTGCGTCGCATTTCTTCAGGCAGCAGCCAAAACCTCAGGCCCCCAGAGCTGCCAACTAAATAAATAAATAAAATTAAATGAATTACATTTGCCTGTAATTAGTATAAGCATACGAATCTGCAAATCATGTGTTTTATATTATGCTGAAACATGTCAAGATCACACAAAGTTCTCATATCGGAACCCCATTGCGGAAGTGGAGCATGTGGTCTTGCCGGGCTGGCCTAGGAAATGGGCCACCCATGAAAGTCTCGGAAAGTAATCAGAAGTGATAAGTGTGGGCCAAGTGGGTCAATTGCATTACGACTTCCTGATGAATCATTCACCTTTGTTACTGATACCTGAGAAGCCTTGCCTTTCTGGTAAAAATATTTCTCCTTTTCGGGTTGTAAGTGGGTTTTTTTTGGCGCCAAAAATCATAAACCCACAGCCACCGCAGTCGGGCGAGCCGACATTGCATTGGCATTGCCTCATTTCGCCGGCTCGACTCGACTCGGCTTGAGCTTGAAAGTAAAAGTGGTTTGGCTTTCTTTTGTGGCACACGCTTTTGGCGCTGCTTTCCAACGACAACTACAACAACTACCACCACCGACAACGACAAGTTGCCGTGTTGAGTCCAAGGTCAAGAGGAAGACTTTGAAAATGCCCCTGCAATGTGAATGTGGATGTGGATGTGACTGTGATTGTGGATGAATAATGCAAAAGACTTTATTTTCTTTCAGGTAAGAGTGAGAGTGCTTGGGAGTCTCAAAGATCGGGCCTTGTTCGACTGTATACCGTTATGCGGGCCAGTTCCGGTTTACGACTGGTTAACTGGTTGCTGATCA